TCTCGCCGACGAGGACGTTGATGAAAACGCCCCCTCTAGCAAACGCAGTTCCACTTTCCTCAATGCCGTTGCCCTCGGCAATGTCGTAAGTCTCCAAACCCTCGATCCATTGATTCCTTCGTTTTTTCAGCACAATTTCATCCCAATTCTGCTTCGTTTCAGGGCGCCGGCAAATCCGCAGTTCTCAACAGCTTGATCGGCCATCCCGTCCTGGTTCGGCCTTTAAAGATTACATCTTTGAGTAATTTTCAATGTGCAAAGTTTCTATTTTTACCACATTTTTGTATTGTAGCCAACGGGAGAGAATGGGGCCACGAGAGCCCCCATCAGCATTGATCTGCAGAGAGATCCTTCGGTGAGCAGCAAATCGATTGTTTTGTTATCTGGGGGAAAAACTCAGGATGTTTCTGCAAGTGAGATATCTCTCTCTTTGTTTGTGGAGAATTGAGATTGGAGGTGTTTTGGGTTGTAGTTTAAGTTTGTGTGTTTGTTGTGTTTGTTCGTGTTGTGTAGGTTCTCTTCGGCGTTCTCTTCAAGATATGCTGAGCAAGGGCTCGGGAAAGAGCCGAGGCAATGAGATCAATTTAAAGTTGCGAACCAGTACAGGTCTGTGACTTAGTTATTTTAGCAAGTCTATTGTTAGAAGGTATCCTTATGCTCGTTGATTGTTCTCACTTTGACACTTTGTTCGTTGGCATTAGATGATGAAATTAACATATTAGTTAAGAAACTATGCCAACATTAACCGCCATGGTAATTAGAAGAGATGATTGACCGTGGTAATAAGAAACAGTCTCTGAGCCTGGAATACTCAAGTAAGATACCAAAAAGACAAGGGGGTTGGAAATATTATAATAAATCAGGCCACTTGCAAGGGGCTTAGAGAGTAAACTATGTAATGAGTTTGATTAATAATTGTAACATCAGTGATGAGGTTTAAACCAATGACCTTATGAGACATGCTCCTCTGATATAGTTTAAAAAGAAAAAAAATGCTCTTTGGGTTTTTGGAAATCATGTATGTTTTAATTTGATCCTAAATGAAGTTTGTCATAAAGGAGCCCTACTTTTTCATAGAAACTGCTGCTTACTTAAGCATCATGAAGCTGTACTTTATGTGCGCGTCCAGAAGAAAATTGCATATGCATTCTTATATGAGTATTTCAATCTTTTATGGAAGTTATCTGAAATATATGTTTGTTTTCTCCAGCTCCTCCTTTAAAATTAATTGATCTTCCTGGGTTAGACCAGCGGGCCATAGATGACTCTGTGGTGAGTAGTTATTAAATGTATCCTTTTCTCTTATGGTTGTTCATATAATTATTAGGGTTCTTTAAATATAGTTTTTATTATTTGCTTGTGTTGCTGGATTCTTCTGGCTAAAGTTGAGCCTTGAACCGAGTCTTATGTTCTTTCTATGTAGTTGGCCATTTTACTTGTTTTTGGTTGTGCACATTGCAACAGTGTCCTATGTCTTGTTTCAGGTCAGTGACTATGCTGCACGCAATGATGCAATTTTGTTGGTTATCATACCAGCTGCCCAGGCACCTGAAATTTCATCCTCTAGAGCTCTTAGACTGGCTAAGGAATATGATGCAGAAGGTTTTTATTGTCTACTAAAGTTGCTTTATCTTGCAAAAGACTTCTCTTTTTTCCTTCTCATCCTGCTCTTATACCTTTAATTTTGACCATGGTTAGTGATGAGTAATTATCTCCTTGTCTTAGGGACCAGAACAATTGGTGTTATCAGCAAAATTGACCAAGCAGCTGGAGATCAAAAAGCTCTTGCTGCTTGTCAGGCCCTTTTATTGAATCAGGGGCCGCCAAAAGCATCTGATATTCCTTGGGTTGCTTTAATTGGGCAATCTGTTTCAATTGCTTCAGCACAAGGTGGTTCAGTTGGCACTGAAAACTCATTGGAAACTGCTTGGAGGGCAGAGACTGAAAGTCTAAGATCTATACTGACTGGAGCCCCCCAAAGCAAGCTTGGTAGAATATCTTTAGTAGACACTGTTGCTACCCAGATACGTAACCGGATGAAAGTCAGGCTGCCAAATCTCCTCTCCGGGTAATTCTCTTTTTATCCTCTCTTAATTTATGTCCTTCAAAAAATTTGGATAAAGGATTTGTTGTTTTTGTTGTTGTTTTTTAACTTTTGTTCTTCAGTCTTTAATTTCTATCAATTTCTATACATTCATTAGTCACTAGTTGCAGTTCTCTGCTTACGTATAGAATGCTGGCAATGTATACTATAATGCAATTACTGATTAATTTGTTCAAGAGATTTGTCCAATAATATTCCATTATATTTAACAAATTATAGCTAACTTCACTTTGGTAGTAACATTTATTAGAATAAGCTACAAATAAGAGACAAGTGACTATTT